GAGGAGGGGGGGGGGGCAAGAGGGGGAGAAGGGGCAACAAGGAGGAGGAAAGGGGAAACAAGGGAGGGGAGATGGCCTTTCCCCGATACCCTTAAGCTCCTCCAGCTCCCTTAGCGCCCCCCACCCCCTCGGGACACAGGCGCACTCTTAGAGCGCTCGCAGTGCACTCGCTTTGCACTCGGGCTGCCCTTGGGCTGCACTTGCCCGGTGCGCCCGCGTCGCACTCGCGTTGCACTCGGCTGCGCACTCGCATTGCACTCACGTCGCACCTGCGTTGCACTCGTCCGCGCACTAGCAACGCCCTCGCCTTGCCCTTACCGCGCTCTCGCAGCGCACTCGCAACGCACTCGATTCATTTTTAAAGGGGGGTGTCTCCTACACGACTGACTAGACCTATCTACGTGACACCTTTGATTTTTGAAATTTACCACGTTTCTTATTAACCTCTTAAAGGTTAAGAATACTTAACTTTTAAAATAGAAATGGTCCGCGTATCTAATTCAGCGTTGATCTTCCTCTGCCTGCGTTGATTGGTGATTTCCTTTGATTCCAGCGTTGTCTTGAGTCTTGACGTGTTTTATTATTCTGGTTCTTTATCCAATTCTTTGGTTTAGAACTTTATTGCACGGCTAGTGCTGTTCTGCGAGCCGTCCTTTTTCTCCGCCTACTCAGAGTGTTCTGGCGGCGTTCCTCTTTTATTCTCATACTCGGCTGCGCGCGCTGCCCATGCGCAATGGGTTACCCCCACTTCTTCCTTTTCCCCTCCTTCGGTGGAGGACGCTGCGCTTTGGCGGCAATCCCACCAACGGTCATTCGCCATCTTGGTGTCACCCTGTTTAAGCCGCTCCGTCGCCCTCCGGTATTTCTCCAAGTTTCTTTGAGTTTTACTCCTCCTATCTCACCATGACTACCCGCTGTCTTGTCCAACATTTTTGGGGGTTTAATCTAGTTGATCTGACTAGAAGAATAGTGAGTATTTTAGCCGTATTTTCTGATTTTTCGGATTGTGCGGTCGGCGTCCCTGCTGAGCGTCCCCTGGGCGTTTTTCTTTCGGCCCTAAATCCCTGTGTTCTTTCAGATCTGCTTTGAGTGTATTCAGGCCACAATATTGAGCCCTCAGTGGCTCGTTGCGGCGCTCTCCCTCATTCAATTCATGGGCACTTTCGACAATCTACTGTTGGACGACGACCATTTCTATATGTGCGGCTGTTGCTTGGATAAGTGCTACGTAAGATTTGTGTGTGGGCTTTATTTGTTGTGTAAATTCGGAAGAGTTCGGTGTGTGATTTTATTTATTTTCCGAACAGATCGTTTTGGATCAGTACGGCCCTGGCTGCCTGCCTCAGCTGGCTGAGATTCCTCAGCTACCTCCACCTGGTGTCCATTATCCCGAACCGGTGGGTCCTGCACCTAGCTCTCTTGGATCAGTTGGACTTGGCTGCGATAGCCCAGGACGTTGAGGACGGGGCGATCGAGCTTGTCGACCTCGTCAGCGAGGACGAACAATGTGAGTTTTCTTTCAAACCTAACAGTTTTTCTGTGTGCTCTCTGTTCGCGACCGTTACAATGTCCGTGGTCGTCTTTATATCATCATTGTGCCATCGAGTCTGTTATTCTCTGTGGGCCTTGTGCTCCCCATGCTGCTCCTGAATTTACGCT